GCTGCCAGCGGTGGTAGTGAAGTCAGATACTTTAGAGACTTTTAAGCGACTCTTGGATAGGCATACGGATGATAGTATAATGTAGGGTATGCAGGTTAGTTTGATCTTAGTAGGATAATAGGTCGGCACAACATCGTGGGCCGATGGGCCTGTACTGTGCTGTACTGTTCTATGTTCTATGTTCTATGTTCTATGTTCTAAAAACAAAGTTGCTGGAAAAGCTCAGGAGGTCTGGCAGCAACTGTGAAGGAAAAAAGAGTTAATGTTTTGGGTCCAGTGACCCTTCCTCAGAATCTTTCACAGACGCTGCCAGACCTGCTGAGCTTTTCCAGCAACTTTGATTTTGTTCCTGATTTACAGCATCTCAGTTCTTTCGATTTTTATCTGTATCTACATACCCTGTACCTAAGATGATGCCAAGAGGCAACATTACAAACTTTTCACTGCACTCAATCGAGTGTACATAACAATAAAGGCTATTCTGTTCTATTCTATGTGAGCTATCCGGTCAGCACACTGCTGGTGAGGCCTCACTCCAATCAGGCTTAGCATTGGGAAACAGGGAGGCAAGCTGGAGCATGCAAAAAGGAGGGCCCCAGGTATTGGTAGAACATTTAACCTGGGCATTACCTCAGAGGAGAGTGAGCTCGATATTAATATGGAGACTAGTTTGGCACTGATTGGGGAGGGATGATGGGCAACAATAATGTAAGATCATTTGATGAGTAGAATATCCAATTTCCATAGGGATCCCACATATAATTTTACTGTCATGTGTGTATCCCAACTGCATCTGTGCAAATATAATGTAGACTCATATAGTGTGATCTTATCACAATGTTTAAACATTTTTAAATGCTCCACATTCCTATCATTATCTGGATTTCTTAATGGATTTGTTAGTGACAGCTTATGTTCAGAGCTCCTTTTCCTTGCGTTATCACCTGTAACCAGGTCACTTTTTGTCATTTTTTATCACTTTTGTCATTTCTTCCGAAAAAGACCCTGGCCTTTCAATCTTCTCCAATGTATATTTCTTTATACTTCCTTCCTTAAAGTTATTTCACAGGGTGTGAGCTTCATTGGCTAAATGATCACTTGTTGCCCAGAGATAGCAGCAACTGTAGGTGTTGGAGTCAGAATCAATACAGTGTGGAGCTGGATTAACACTGCAGGTCAGGCAGCATCAGAGGAGCAGGAAAGTTGATGTATCGGGTTTACATCTTTCATCAGGACTCATCCCTAATTGCCCTGGAGTCAGTGGTGATGAACCACATCCTTAAACTACTGCAATCCTTGAGGTGTAGGGTTGCCCAAAGGAAGCAAGTTCCAGGATCTTGACCCAGTGAAAGAATGCCAATAAATTTCCCAATCGGGTTGATGTGTGACATTGTTTGAATTTGTAGGTACTGGTGTTCCCATATATTCGCTGCCTTTATCCTTCTGGTTGAGTAAGGGTTCACAGCCTGCAAGCTGCTGTCAGAGGAGCTTGGGTGGGTTGTTGTAGTGCATCTTGTAGATGGTGCACACTATTGCCATTGTGTACCATTGGTGGTGGAAGGAGCAACTGCTGAACACTGTGGATGTGGTGCCAATCAAGCGGGCAGCTTTGTTCTGGATGACATTGAACTTCTTGAGTGTTATTGTAGCTCCACCCATTCAGACAAATGGTGAGTATTCCATCATCCTGCTGAATTGTACTTTTTAATACAGAGTAAGTCATAGAATTCCTAGCTTTTTTTGTTTTGCAGTCACATTATTTACATGTCTGGCCCAGATCAGTTTCTGGTGAACAATAACCTCCCAAGACAATGATGGAGGGGAACTCAGTAATGCCATTGAATTTCAGGGGAGATGATTAGAGTCATTCTTGATGAAAATGGTTATTGCCTGGCACTGGTGTAGCACAAATGTTATTTGCCACTTAACAACCAAGGGCTATATTGTCCAGGTATGACTACATCATGACAAAGATTGCTTCTGTACCTGAGTTGTGAAAGGTGTTGAACATTGTGCAATCATCAGCAAACATCCCCACTTCTGTTATTATGAAGGAGGAAAGGTCATTGATGAAGCACCTGAAGCCAATTGAGCTCTGGACACTACCCTGAGGAACTGCTGCAGAAATGTCCTGGGACTGAAACATTTAATTGCAAAATTTGCAACCATCTTCTTTTGTGCTAGATATAACTCCAAGCTGGGAATTTTCTTCCTTATTCCCATTGCTAGGGCTCCTTAATGCCACACTCACTCAAATGCTGCCTTGATTTTAAAGGAAATTACTATGGAGACTGTAACTGTGCACATTGCTCCAAGTGTAGTGTAACCAAGGTTCTTGACATGTTTTATAAAATGTCTCAGGTTTTCAATTCTCTCACTGTGGAATTAATCGCAGGGGCTTGGTTTGTTTTTTTAAGACCTTGTTAAAAACTACTGTTACTTTCAATGATGTATATTTCTGTATCCCTTCGATGCAATCTCCACCCTGGATAATGCTATCCCATTCTACCCACTTAGACACTCATTTTCCAAACAATATGTGGTTTCTGATGCCCTTCCTTGTAGATTTTTATTGGGGTCCATGTAGCATATACTTCTGAGAGTCAGGCTTGTATTCATTCAGTTTTCTAGAAGTTTATTAACAACAAACTATGTACATTAATATGGTATCTCAAGCTTACATATACAGTATGGATTATTTGTTTATTCAGATTACTGCTAATTTACAGACATAGTCGCCAGTCTGACTGCTAGCAAAGTAACTGGCTGAATAAACAGAGAATAAGATGGAGACCTATTAAACCACATGTTGCATGTCATGATGTCCTCTCACTGTTTCCAGATTTGGTACTTTTCTGAGAACTGTGCAAAAACACAACACTTTCTTTATTCTCCTTACCAAAATGTGTCAACCTTATAACCCAATATTGAAGTTTATTACAGGCAGTTTATCAAGTTTGTTATTGTGTTCCTATATCTTTTTCTCCAAAATTCCTCAGTATTAACTATGTCTTTCAATTTACAGTCATCTAAATTGACTTCCCCCTCTTAAATCCAAATCATTTAAGTAAATAATAAATAGCAGAGGTCTCAGCCCTGATTCTGATGGAATGCCATTTCCTGTCGTTGTCAGTCTGAATACCAACCCTTTAACCCCTACACTTCATACTGATTTGAAACCAGCTTATCATTTCCTTCCTGTAATTTTTCCACTGCTACCACAGCTTTTTTGAGTTATCAGTTTTCTATGGAGTGCCTTATTGAAAGCCTTTTGATTCTCTAGTCTAATAATTTATATTATTTGAGTCTACACTTTGTCGCTTCTTCAAAAATTCAACAATGTTAGTCATGTATAAAATTACTTTAGAAATCCGTGTGACCACCTTTCATTATATTTTCAGTTCCTGGATGTTTCCCAATCGCATTGGGGGTAGGTCTAAGGTGGACTGCTCTTTGGAGGGTCGATGTGGAGTTGATGGGCTGAATGGCCTTCTTCCATACTGTAAGGGTTCTGTGATTCTAAAATGGCACGCGTTGTTGCTGCTGAGCATTGATGGTGGAGTAAGTGAATGATTGTGGTGGTGAATAGGGTGTCAATCAAACAGGTTGCTTTGTCCTTGACGGCATTGAGCTTCTTGAGCATTTTTGGATTTGTACTCACCCAACAGGCTTTAGAGAGTCAGGAGGTGAGTTACTCACTGTAAGATTCCTAGACTCTGACCTGATCTTGTAGTTACAGCATTTATATGGTTCAATTTACTACTATGGTAGTAACCCCCCAGGATGTTGATAGTGGAGGATTCATTGATGGTAATGTCAATCAATGTGAAGTGGTGATGATTAGATTCTCTCTTGTTGGAGATGGTTTATTGCCTGGCACTTGTGTGATGTGAATGTTACTTACCATTTATCTGCCTGTCGTAATGTTGTCTAGGTCTGGCTGCATATGAAGTGCAATAAAAACGAAAACAAAGAGAAGGACTAAATGAAATTGGATGCAGAGATGATGTGCTGCTGTCCCCGTGGTGCCTACCAATAAGCATGCAGCTTTTTTTTAGACAAAAGGAAAGTAATGGAAAGGGTCACCAACAGTGTTATCAAGCAGCATGAACACAACAGGAAGCTCTGCACTGATATTCAGTTTGGGTTCCATTAGGGCTACTCAGCTCTTGATCTCAGAACAAAACTCCTGGACAAAAGAGTTGAATATCACTTCGGAAGTTCAACACCATCCAACATAAAGTATTTCACTTGCTTGCCACCTGATCCAGTACCACAAATGTTCACTTCCTCCATCATGGATGCTCAGTAGCAGTAGTGTGCATGATCTACAAGATTCACTGCAGAAATTCAACGAAGCTCCTTAGAACATGATCCAAACTGGTACTGCTTGCATGTATAGGGATAAGGGGAGAAGATACATGGGAACACAATTAACTGCAAGATCCCCTCCAAGCCACTCACCATGCTGACTTAATGTGGAGGTGGCAGTGTTGGACTGGGGTGGACAAACTCAGAAGTTACATGACACCAGGTTATAGTCCAACAGGTTTATTTGAAATCACAAGCTTTTAGAGCGCAGCCCCTTCGTTAGGAGTGGTGACTTGACAAAGGGGCAGTGCTTCAAAAGCTTGTGATTTCAAATAAACCTGTAGGACTATGACCTGCTGTCGTGTGACTTCTGACGTCATCCTGACTTTGAAATATATCTCTGTTCCTTCAATGTCACTGGGTTAAAATCCTGGAATTTCCTCCCTAACAGCCTTAGGGTATCCCTACACTACATGAACAGCCGAGGTGAAAGAAGGCAGCTCACGCTCACCTATGCAATGGCATTTTAAAAAAGGAAAAAATACTGCCCTTCACCAGTGACAGTCACAACCCATGAGTAAACAATAATTAGGAGACAGAAGATGGATCATAAAAGAAAAAGTTATCAATCTTGAAAAAGTTTGAAATGTTGTGAGAGTTGGTTCGTTGACATAGAGACTACACCAAAATAATACATAATATTTTATTCATATTCCCCTTATACACACAGAATAATTTCCCAGCTCCCATTAAGTTAATGTCAATATTTACATATATCCGCTGGAGTAGGCAGCAGTCTGGCTGTACACTGCATTCCGGGTTCTCCACTAGAAACTGCAGCAGTGTCCCACCTCACCAATGCAGAGTGAAGAATAAAAGAGTTTTTTTTTGTTCAGCATCCATGTTCTCAGGAAGGACATGGTTCCTGCTCTTGTGCTGATTTGGTTTCTTTCTCTTCAGCCTCAATTTCCTCTGTTGTTGGGATGGAGTTTTTCTTTGGTCTTCCTTTGGGCTTTGTAGGAGCCTCATGTCCTCCTTTCAGCACCTGTGTTCAAGAAATGGTTTAAACTCAGACACCAGCATCTAGACAATATGCAAGTGATAGCTATGATTGAGAGGAAAACCATATGGTCTTAAAGGCACTGCCAAGTCCAGACGTTCAATCACGTTCTGAAATGGGCAGGACACAGTGCACATACCCAGCATCAGGATATACCTTGTTAGTATTGACCCAGTTAGCAGGGTATATCCTGTTAGTATTGACCTAGGCAGCAGGGTATACATCTGTTGGTGTTTGTAATGATGCAGTGGAACAACCAGATCCATCCACACTACTCATCAGCTGTAAACTGCAGAGGGGAGGGACATCAGGCACTCAAAGGTAGTCTTTGGCACGTTTTGGAGGGGAGTGTATTGTGGTGCAGACACCATACAAGTACACTTCTTGAAGAAATGGTTACATGAAAATGCAATATCTCCAGAGCTGCCTATCCAATGCAATGTATTATGCAGTGCTTAGAAGGAGGGATTCCTCCATGAATTGATTCCACAACAGTTTTGAGAAATTGCAGAATCAATTCTAGATGTACTGCACGCAGGACGTGTTCAAGAAACCTTATGAACTGATCAGAGATGTCAAAGAAAGAAGATCATATTCATTACTCACATCTGGGAGTGATAATTCAGGAAAAGAGTAATAGCTACTCATGCAAATGTGGGTTGATTAAAGAAATCCAACATTGATTTGCTAAGAGAAAATTATGTGAGCAAACTAATAGCTCATGAAATAACAGGGACAGTAACAAGATGGAGATGAGATTGTCTCAGTAACAGAATCATAGAACTGTTACAGTGGGGAGGGGGGCCTTTGGCCCATTTAGCTTGCACTGGCTCTCTGAATGATCACTTCTCTTCATGTCATTCTCCCACATGTTCTTACTTTTCAGATAATAATCCAGCTCCATCTCAAAACTTTCAATGGAGCTGGAGGAATATTTAATCTGGAGTTTTCCAGGGTCATTGTTAGGACTTTTGCACTTCTTAATATTCATTAATGACCTAGACATTGGCGTGTAGGGCACAATTTCAAAATTTGTGGATCTTTCAGTACTTGGAAACAATGTGAATGGTGACAAAGACGGTACAGATTTTCAAAAGAACATAGACAGGTTGCTAGAATGGATGGCATGATGAAACTTAATACAAAGTGTGAAGTGAGCCATTTCAGTAGAAGAAAGTGAAGAGTCAATATGAATTCTAAAGTGGGTGCAGGAACAGAGGGATAGGGTTGCGGGGATTCTATATATTGCATAAATTATTTAAGGGGGGGGATCAGCTGAAGATGTGATCCTTGTCCTTATTAACAGGGGTATAGAGGGCAAAATCATAGAATCCCTACAGAGCAGAAAGAGGCCACTTGGCCCATCAATTTTGCACTAAGCCTCTGAACAGCATCCCACTCAGAACCACCCTACCTCCAATTTACTATGGCTAATCCACTTAACCTGCACATCTTTGGACTGTGGGAGGAAACCAGAGCACCCGGCAGAAACAGGGAGAACAGGGAAACATCATATAGCCAGTCATCCAAGGCTGCAATCAATCCTGGCATTATGAGGCAGCAGCACTAAACACTGCGCAACCCAAAAGAATACTGAAATGGAAATGTACGTGCTTACTTTGCTGAAGCCCAGGATTGGACCAGGAGTCTTTAAATTTTCAATCTAATGCTTTCCCAACTGAGCTATTTCAGCTGACAATCAAGGAAGGTATTACAAACCTGTGTAAAAGATTGGTTTGGCCTCATCTAGCATAGTTCGACCATTTCTAGGCACCATACTTTAGGAAGGATGTGAAAGCATCAGAGAGAGTGCAGAAAAGATTCATGAGAATGATTCCAGGGATGAAGATATTCAGTTACACAGGTAGTTTGGAGAAGCTGGGATGGTTTTCTTCAGATGAGAATCGGGATTTTTTGGAAGTGTTCAAATCATGAGTGGTCCAGACAGAGTAAATTGGAGGAATTGAGAACAAGAAGGTACAAATAGAAGGTACTTAGCAAGAGTAGCATGAGGAAAATCATTTTATATGAGTGAATGGTTAGAGTCTGGTATGAACTGCCTGAGATTGTGGTGGAGGCAGGTTCACTTCAAGACCTTTAAGAGTGAATTGGATTATTATCTGACAGGGAAGAATGTGCAGCATTGTGGGGAGAAGGGGTGTGGGGTGGGGGAGAGAGATGGTGGGGTACTAACACCGGGTGAACTACTGATTCAGAGAGCCAGCACAGACCATTTTGTTATTTGTTCTTGGGATGTGGGCATTACTAGATCATTTGTTGCCTATCCCTAATTGCCCTGAAGAAGGTAGTTGTGAACTGCCTTCTTGATCACTACAGTCCTTGTGGTGCAAATAAAGCTACAGTGTCCAATAGGAAGTGAGTTCCAGGATTTGACCCAGTGACAGTGAAGGAATGGTGATATATTTCCAAGTCAGAATGACGGTGGTGTTGCCATATATCTGCTGCCCTTTTCCTTTGAGATAGAAGCTGTCATGGGCTTGGAAACTGTTGTCTGAAGAGTCTTGGTGAATTTCTACAGTGTACCTAATAACTGGTACACACTGCTGCTACTGAGCAACAGTTGTGGTGTGAGCGAATTTTGAGTGTTGCTGGAGCTGCACCCATCCAGGCAAGTGGGGAGTATTCCATCACACTCCTGACTTGTGCCTTGTAGTAGGTGGAGGCAATCACTGGGTACGTGAATTACTTTCTTTACACAAAACCATGCTGACTCTTCCCATTTGCCTTGACTTTTTCTAAGTGCTCAGCTATATGTTCCTTTACAATCAATTCTAACACCTTTTCCATTGCAGACATCAAGCTAACTGGTCTGTCTACTTCCTCCTTCCCTTCCTGAATAAAGGAATTGCAACTTTCCAGATTGAGGGAACCTTTCCAGAATCTAGTGAATTTTTGAAAATTAACACCAACAATTCTACTACCTCATTTTAGCATCTCTTTTTAAGACACTGGGATGAAACCCATCAGGTCCCAGGCACTTGTCAGCCTGCAGCTCCATCAGTCTGCTCATGACCACTTCCCTCTGTCTCTTCCACTTCCTGATTGTCAGCTATTACTGCTTTCCTTAACTTCATTCGTTAATGGTGTGTCCTCCCCTTGGAACTTCTTTTATAGCAGGAACATATTTATTCTGAATATTATGAAATATCTTCTTAAATTTTTGCCACTGATTCTCCACTGATTTATCTGCTAGCCCAGCATCCCAGCTTGCATCTAGCCCAGCTGTCATGTCCATATAATTGTCCTCATTTAAATGTAATAATCCTTGTCTTTGAGCCATTTCTCTCTGTTTAAAACTGAATGTAAAACATAGACACACAAACATTGAGCAAGAGTAGACCACTCGGCCCTTCGAGCTATTCTGCCAGTCAATAAGATTATGTGATTGTAACCTCAGATCTACCTTCCTGCATGTCTCTGATAATCTTTCATCTCCTTGGGAATCAAAAATCTATGTATCTCTGCCTTAAAAATAATTAAAGATTAAGTATTTTGAGGAAGGGAATTTCAAACTTCAATTATATTGTTGTTACTGGTAACTAGATGTGCCTTAGCTTTGAAGTCATGAATTAATCCTATCTTATTACACAATATTAGATCTAGTGTAACCTTCTCTCTGATAGTTTCTTAGAACAACACGTTGTTGAACTAATCCCAAAAGCATTCCATAAACTCCTCATCCAGACTGTTACTGCCAATTTGAGTTTTCCAGTTTATATTCCAGTTTTGACTTGATAGAGGTGTACAAAATGATCAGAGATATAGACACAGTGGACAGCCAGAGACTTTTTTCTAGGGTGGTGGTAGCTATTATGAGGGGGCATAATTTTAAAGTGAATGGAGGTAGATAGAGGGGAGACGTCAGAGGTAGGTTCTTTACTCAGAGAGTGGTAGGGACGTGGAATGCATTGCTGGAGCGGGTAGTGGAGTCGGCCTCATTAGGGGCATTTAAGCGGCTATTAGATAGGCATATGGATGATAGTATAAGGTAGGGGTGGAAGTTAGATAGACCTTAGGTTTAGGGTAAAAGTTCGGCACAACATCGTGGGCCGAAGGGCCTGTACTGTGCTGTACTGTTCTATGTTCTATGTTCTATGTTCTATATGTGGATTTAAATCACCCATGATTATTGCTATACCGTACTCTACCCTATCATGTGGTTGATTAACTGTTAGATCTGTACTCTCTGTCCCAGTGCTTCATAAAGTAAGGGCTGGGACCAAAATGGGGAGCAGAAATTTTGGGGCCATGAGTTCTGAGGCAGTAATGGCCGTGTGGAGTTCCAACAGTGTAATACCAGTGTACTCCCATTCTAACATGCTCCTGCTCTCACTTAGGGGTCAAAAGAATTCTCAAGCCTCAAAATGGGGTCACAGTGGGAAAAGGTTTAAGCAGCATTATTCTATCTGTTCCCATCATGTCCCGCTTGTTATTTCTTATATTGATGCCTTTCTTACTTTTTGATTTACCACTTCCTCCAAAATTTGATCCCTTGCCCCCACTATTAAATTTAAACGCTCTCTCATTCCCTAGTTGTGCTGCTCGCTAGGACACTGGCCCAGCACAGTTGAGGTGTAGACCACCCTAATGATACAGGCCCCACTGTCCCAGTGCTGCTTCCAGATCCGCCTCCCCCTCTCTCCCTATTTATTTCAGAACGCCCTTCCCCTCCCCCATTTCTGAAGAAGGGTCTAGGCCCGAAACGTCAGTCTTCCTGCTCCTCTGATGCTGCTTGGCCTGCTGTGTTCATCCAGCTCTACACCTTGTTATCTCAGATTCTCCAGCATCTGCAGTTCCTACTATCCCCCCTCAAACCAATCTGTTTTGGGCCACACACTTATTTCTCTAGTCTTATTTGCCCTGTGCTGAATTGTTGATAGGATGAAGGGGGAGCCTACCCTGATTAACCACATTACTCACATCCATGGCATTACAGAGATTGACTGCAGAGCCACTGTGTTACCCCTAAGTGATCTACTGTCAGAATTGGACTGGACGTCATTTCCTTACAACTGTTGTTTGTGATTCAGTGACATTGAGCAAACTGCCACCTGCAATAAACAATCACTGTGCCAGCTTAGATCTCTCAACACTAACCAGATCCCTGGGAAAGCAACTGGAGAGGGGCAGAGAAGATTTACAGGATGTCAGGTCTGGCAGCATCTATGAAGGAAAAAACAGAGTTAACGTTTCGGGTCCAGTGACCCTTCCTCAGAAGGAAGGTTCTGAGGAAGAGTCACCGGACCCAAAATGTTAACTCTGTTTTTCCCTTCACAGATGCTACCAGACCTGCTGAGCTTTTCCAGCAACGTTGTTTTTGTTCCTGATTTACAGCATCCGCAGTTCTTTCAGTTTTTACCAGGATGTCACATGGGCTGGAGAGTTTTGGTTATGAAGAAGGATTGGATGGGCTACAATTGTTTTCCTTAGAGCAGAGGAGTTTGACAGGAGACATGATTGAGATATACAAAATTACAAGGGGCATAGGCAGGGTGGATAGGAAGAAACTTTTCCCCTTGATGGAAGGATCAATGACCATGGGGCAGAAGGTTTAGAGGAGATATGAGAAAAACCTTTTCACCCAGACGGTGGTGGAAATCTGGAACTCACTGCACATTAGGGTGGTAGAGACAAAAACCCTCATGATGTTTAAGAACTATTTAGTTGTGCACTTGTGATGCCAAGGCATACAAGTCTCTGGGCCAAATGCTGGAAAATGAGATTAGAATAATTAGGTGATTATTTTTGAATAGCATGAATGTGATGGGTCAAAGAACTTTTTTCTGTGCCATAGATGTCTATGACTTTAAAGCCCTAAACTCTGCATACAAACTGGCTCCAACATTTGGTGAATCTCCTCACTGTCACCCACATGTGCCAACATTACATCTTTCACCAACAGTTTCTCAACAGTAGTTGCTGTAACTATTTCTCTTCACCAAGAGAGAACACAACCATCTCTCCTTGATATTCAATGGCATTAGCATCATTGAATTACCCACTATCAACATTCTGGGATTCACCATTTACCAGAAACTGAAATGGACTAGTCATATAATACAGTGGGTACAAGAGCAGTTCTGAAGCTAAGAATCCTGCAGCAAGGAACTCTTCCTGATTCCCCTGAGTCTATCTACCATCTGCAAGGCACAAAACAGGAGAGTGATGGAATACTCTCCAATCAACTGGATGAGTGCAGCTCCAAAACACTAAAGAAGTTCGATACACGTGCATGTAGCTGGAGGATATTGGTAGGGTGTTAAATGACTACTTGATTTCTGTCTGAGAGAAGGACTATATAGGTACTAAATTCAGGAAGAGGGACCCTAAGACTCTTGAGCATATTAACATAGGGAATGAGGGTGTTGGAGGTTTTTGCAGGCTTAAAAGTGAACAAATTTCCAGAACCAGATGTTTCCTAAGCCAATGTGGGAAGGGAGGGAAGAAATGACATGGGTTTGGAACAAAATTCTTAATTCCTCATCGGTCACAGGGGAGGTGCCAGATGACTGGAGGACAGCTAATGTGGTTCCACTTTTCATGACGGGTGGTAGAGATAAATCAGGGAATTACAGACCAATGAGTCTCATATTGGTAGGGAAACTATTGGGGAAAACTTTGAAGGACACAAATAATCTTCCATTGGAGAGGCAAAGTTTGACCTTTGTAAGGGGGAGGTCATGCCTAACAAATTTGATTGAACTTTTTAGGGAGGTGATCAGGTATGTAGATAAGGGTAACGCTGTTAATATAGTTATATAGATTTCAGCAAAGGCTTTGATAAGATCCCACTTGGGAGACTGATAAAGAAAATAAAAGCACATGGGATCTGGGATAAACTAACAAGTTCAACCCAAAATTAGCTTAGTGGCAGGAGATAGAGGGCCTGGTAGAAAGCTGTTTGGGTGACTATATTTTGGTATCCAATGGCATACCACTGGGACCAGTGCTGGGTCCCTTATCATTTGTGGTATATAAACAATATAGATGAGAATGTGGTGTGTGTGTGAGAGGGGAAGGGGGAAATGGATCAATAAGTTTGCAGTTCATACAAAGATTGGCCAACTGGTTGATAGTGAGGAAGAAGATCTTCAGTTACAGGAGGATATAAACAGATTGGATAGATGGATAGACTGGTTTCAGATGGAATTTAACCCTGAGAATTGTGAGGTGATGCACTTTGGAAGAAAGAACAAGGCAAGAGAGTACTCCATGAATGGTAGGACACTAAGAGGCTCAGAGGTACGGAGGTTTCTTAGGATGTTTGTTCACAAATCCCTGAAGCTGGCAGGGCAGGTTAATAGGATAATTAAGAAGCCATATGGGATGCTTGCTTTTATCAGGGCATATATTATAAAAGCAGGGAGGTTCTGTTGGAGCTCTGCTGAACTTTGTTTAGGTTGCAGCTGGAATACTATGTACAGTGCTGGTCCACCACACTACAGGGAGAACATGATTGTACTGGAAGGGCTGCAAAGAATATTCACCAGGATGTTACCTGGGTTGGAGCATTTCATCGATGAAGAGAGGCTGGATAATCTTGATTTTTTTTTAGAGCAGAGAAGGTTGAGAGGGTACCTGACAGAGGTGTATAAGATTAAGACAGGCATGGACAGAATAGAATAGAAAGCAGCTGTTCCCCTTAGTTAAACAGTCAATAACAAGGGAGCATAATTTTAAGGTGAAAGGCTGGAGGTTTAGAGGGGATTTGAGGAAAGCTTTTCACCCAGAGGGCGGTGGGAATCTGGAATGCAGTCTCTACGAGGACAGAGGAGATGGGAACCTCACAACTTTTTAATTAGAGTACATACTGAGGCCACTTGAAATGTCATAATATTCAAGGTTATGGGACAATTACTGGAAAATTGGACTAGTGTAGATGTACAGTTGATGGGATGGATGGGCTTCTTCTGTCCTGTTTGATTCCATGTTCTATGCCAGCCAGAAGAAAGCAGCCTCTTTTTTGTCACCACAATGGCCTTCAACATTCACTCCCTTCACCTCCAATGCACCATGGCAGCATTGTGTATCTCCTATGTATCACTGGAGGAACTTACTAAGCCTCATTCATCAGCACCTTCCAAATCTGCAACCTCTGCCATCTCAAAGTACGAAGGCAGCAGATACACAGGAACACTACCACCTACAAGTTCCCTTCCAAACCACTCACCACACTGACTTGGAAATATGTCGTTGTCCCTTCACTGTCACTGGGCCAAAATTTGGGAATTTCCCTTCCTAACAGCATTGTGGGTGAGCCTACACCTCAAGGGTTCAAGAGGACAGCTCACCAGCACCTTCTCCAGGAATGGCAATAAATACTGTCCTTGCCAACAATGCCCACATTCTGCAAAGAAAAATTAAAAAGTGCCATGAATTCTATTTCTTGCTTCAAAACATTTTGGTCACTACATAGCCACAAAGTTCAACATGAAACCAACAACCAATTGCAAACAGCACTCCACGAAACACAGAAACTCCACTCACCATCTTCTTCCACTTCATCCTTCGATTCTGGTACCAGGTTTTCACTTGAAGCTGAGTTAATCCCAGTGACTGTGCTAGATCCAACCTGAAAAAAGCATGGAAATTAGTGTGTACACATTTAGGGGATGATTAGAGATTGAGGGGCAATTAGAGTACATACTGAGGGGTAATTAGAGCTTGAGGAGCAAGTAGACTACATTCTGAAGTGTGATTACAGATTGGGTTCCTCCAGCACTTTCTGTTTTAATTTCAGATCTCTTCAGTCTTTAATCATCCCACAATGTTTATTCTAATTACTTGTCCCAATATTTTGATTTTGGTCCACATTTTAACCGTTCCTTTCTCTTGAATTCCTATTTAGTTTATGAGACTATCTTATATTCATGGTCCTCAGCTTTAGACACCCCAAAAAGTCGAATTATCTTCTCTACATTTACCACCATCAAAGCCTTTCATCATCTTAAGGCAGGTACCAAATCACTCCTCAGCTCTTTATTTTGTAGCAAAAAACACTCTCATCTGTTTAATCTTTCTTGATAGCTTTCAGTTCTGGTACCATTCCCTGTCAATTGTTCTTCTCCCTTCTCCACTGCTGCCATATCCCCTCAGTAATTAGGATAATGAAATATTATGGAATACTCCAAATGTTATTTAATCGACATTCAATACAGGTTTAACATATCCCTTATGCTTTTCATATTCATCCTTCCAGAAATGATCCCCAGAATTTTATTCATTTGCTTTTTTGATTTTATTAAACAACATATCTTTAGTAATTTGTGCACTTTTATCATGTCTTACTTCCAGCCATAAACAATATTCATAAACTTTGTAGAAGTACATTATGAAATAATTTGACTTAAGAATTACAGAATCTGCAATAAAATTCAAATTGCCTCCACACTGCACGTTCTACTCTTCAGTTCCTCAACACAGTTGCAATATATTCCTTGTCAGGACTATAGCCCTAGGGTAAAGCATTTCATATTGAAAGTATTGGACTCCTGATTTATTGTATCACCTCACAATTTATCATCATTGAAATTCATTTGCCTGTATGTTATTATATGTTGTCATCCAAGTTTCACTAAACTCTTCAAGGTAGCAATTAAAGTTAGTGTTCTGGGGGTTGATGCAAATCCTATTATAGGAAGATAGTTTGGGAATAGAGAAGCCAGTGGAATACATAGAACAAAGAACACCACAGCACAGGAACAGACCCTTTGGTCCACCATGTCTGTGCTGACCATGATGGCATTCTAAACTAATCCCGTCTGCCTGCACATGGCCCATATCCCTCTATTTCTTGCCTGTTTACATCTCTGTCTAAAAACCTTTAAAATGTTGCTATCATATCTACTTCTACCACCTCCCCTGGCAGTGAGTTCCAGGCACCTGCCACCCTCTGTGCAAAAAACTTGCCTTGCATATCTGCTTTAAACTTTGCAACTCTCATCTTAAACTTATGCCCCTGTGTATTTGATATTTCCACCCTGGGAAAAAAAAATCTGACTTTCCACCCTATCCATGCCTCGCATAATTTTACATACTTCTATTACTTTTCCAAAAAGCTATATCAGCACCAAAACACAGTTTACAGTGAGGAAAAAAAAATGACATTCTGGGATTGTTACTGTTTCTGAAGTATCCCAACATACATATCTGCTACAGCGACAGAGAGACACTGGTATGTATTGATTTCAACCCTTTAACCTGAGAGGAAAAATTCAAACCCATAATAATAAACTAGTTTGATGGCATTTCCTATTGTAGCCCTATATCTTAAAAACTGTTGCTGATACTTCTTCTGAAGTGTAACTTTGTATTGAAGTATCTAAATACTAAAGTTGGAATAACTATATTAGTTACATGCAAAGTGTGGAGTGTCTAAACTTGTATTTTTTATACATTTTTATTTTGTTTACACTTCTTAATGAAATTGATTAAAATGGATGCCATCACCTGCAAATATCCCTCCAAATCAATCACCATCCTGACTTGAAAATTTATCACTGTTCTTTCACTGTCACTGAGCCAAAATCCTGGAATTCCCACCCTAACAGCATTGTGGGTCTAACTACAGCACATGGACTGCAGCAGTTCACAAAGATAGCTCACCACCACCTTCTCTTGAGCTGTAAATACTGGCCCAGCCAGTGACACCCAAATCAATGAATAATAATAAAAATGACATATATTTTTCCAAGGGTGTAGGTATTATGGAAGTATATCCATTATTGATATTTTTGAGGGCTTTTTTTTTCAGGACTCCTGTTTAAAGGACTGTCATTTGCAGTACTGAGAAGATACTTGTGGTAGGCGATGGCCTAGTGGTGTTCTTAATGGACAATTAATCCAGAGACCAAGGTAACATGTCGGGGACCTGGGTCTGAATCTCGCCCCAGCAGTTGGTGGAATTTGAATTGATAATAAACTGGAAATGAGAGTCTGATGATGAATATGAAATCATTGTTCATTGGCAGGAAAAACCCATCTGATTCACTAACATCCTTTGCAGAAGGATATCTGCAATCCTTACTTGGTCTGCACTACATATGACTCTAGAACCACAGCAATGTGGTTGACTCTTAACTAATCTCTGGGCAATTAGGGATGGGCAATAAATGCTGACCGAACTAGAGATGCCCACATTCCATGAATGAATTTTAAAAAAATACCTGAACCTATTTTGTTTAAAATGTCATCAAAAGGATGTAGGGGGAGCCTTTTGTTTCAAAACTACCTATTGGAAATCCTACCCTTGTAAATGTTTTACAACAGTGACTTTTCATCAGACATGAAGTGTTAACTCAACTACTCTATACTCTGCTACACCTGCTGAGTATTTCCAGCATTTTCTGTTTTGATTTCAGATTGCTAGCTTCCAAAGTATTTAGCTTTTAGAGCAAAGAATAGTACAGAACAGGAACATGCTCTTTGGCCTTCCATGTCTGTGCAGACCATGATGTACCTGTCACCCTCTGTGTAAAAAACTTTCCTCACACGTTTCCTTTAAATTTTTCACCCTCACATTAAGCTTATTCCCCCGAGAAAAAACACTGGCTATCCAGCCTATCCATGCCTCTTATAATTTTGTACACTTCTATCAGTATATTGAATCAATCTTTGACACTCTAGCGAAAACAATCCAAGTTTTTCCAACATCTCCTTATAGCTAATACATTCCAATCCAGACAACATGCTTGTAAATGTCTTTTTCACCCTTTCCAAAGCCTGCACATCCTTCCTAAAGAGTGGCAACCAAAACCGCACACAATACTCCAAACATGGCCAAACTGAAGTTTTATACAGCTGTAACATGCCTTGCCAACTTTTATACATCATTCCTCTGTATCTATTTGCCTATTCGCACCAAAAAAATAAGAAACCATTTAATCAACATCTGTGGGCGAAGACTGAGTATCTGCAACCACCTTCACGGCAACCCAAAAATAATTTTAAGTGGCGCATGATGGGCAGCCATACCGCCTCATGGGAGATGCGTAGAAGCGAATGCAAATGTGGGTAGATGTTCATGCACACCCTCCCCCAATTCGTACTTGGATACTCTCAGCATCTCTCTCCCTTCTCTCTTCTCCTGCTTTGTTTCATTGAAGTTGGTTGTGCACATGACACTAGGACACACCTAGTGCCCTTTGTGTTATCATGATGGCTCCCATTTTAAGGAACCAGTACTGATATTAAAAGGCAAAGAAACATAAAAGCTATTGGCAAAGGGAATGGTTGAGTTCTATTGCTAAAGCGTCAGAATGGTGGGTGATAAATGGACAATAGTAAAAGAAAATGTGTGTGTGTTCAGCAGTGAAAAAGCATTCAAGAAAGAAAATGGTATTGACTGACAAGGTGTTCTCGAAATAAAACAGCACTCACCTGCTGGTGCACTAAGGTAGACTATGCTGCATTGCGTTAGTTACAGTTTAATTACACTTCGGCTGTTGACTGTATACAGTATACTTTTCTCGTGCTAATTTTCATTCTCTTATATTACAAAACTATATTCTATTTAAGTATTAACATAATGTCAGTAACATTTATCGCTTTAACCCAAAAATTAACCCAAAAAATAATAGGCGAAAAGTCATAATCTTGGGTGCCGGGAAACTAACCCTATTTTTACCATAAGTTGCTTAGGTCTGCACTTGCGAATTCATCATTCAGGAAGGTTTTCAGGAATGGAACCCTTGCAGATACGGAGGAATGATTGTAATGCTCCAACTGATGAATCCAAGCATGCCAGACACTTTTTTTATTACCTTATCCATTTGGCTTGCCATTTTCAGGGAGCTCTGTAGATCCCCCTCTGTATCAATGCTCCTAAGGGGTCTGCCATTTACTGTAAACTTTCTTCTTGCATTTGACCTTCCAAACTGCATCACCTCAAATTTGTCTGGATTAAACTCCATCTGCTATTTCCTCCCTCAACTTTCCACTGATCTCTGCCTTGCTGTATCGTCTGACAATCTTCCTCACTATTCACAAATCCACTAGTTTTTGTGCTGCCTACAAACTTACTAACCAGACCATATACATCTTCATCCAAATTATTTACATATTACAAATAACAGAAGTCCCAGCACTGATTCTTGTAGAACAAGATGGATGATAATGGAATAGTTTAGGTTAGGTGGGCTTCAGATTGGTTTCACAGGTCGGCGCAACATCGAGGGCCGAAGGGCCTGTACTGCGCTGTAATGTTCTATGTTCTATGTTCTATGTTAACAGCATGGGTCACAGAACTCCAGTCAGACAAATATCCCGCCACAACTACCCTCTGTCTTCTATGACCATGCCAATTTGGTATTCAACTTCCTAACTCACCATAGATCCCATGTGACTTAATCTTCTGGACCAGACTACCATGAGGCACCTTGTCAAATGCCTTAGCAAAGTCCACGTAGACAATATCCACTGCCCTACCCTCATCAAACATCTTCATCGTTACCTCAGAAAGCTCAAATTTGTGAAACAAGACCTGCCCCTTACAAAGCCATGCGGAATATGTCTAATAGAGTAAACCCTGTCCCTAAGAATCTTCTTTATACTACTGATGTAAGGCTGACAGAC